GGGCTGGAAGGGGGAATTGGGTTAGGGGCAGCAGGGGTTGTACTGGCTGGAATGGGGGAGCTGTCCTGGCCTGCGGGCTGGGATGCAGCAAAGTAGCCAGGGCACAAGGCTGAGAACCAGTGTACTGATTGCATTGCACAGAGCATGTACAAGAGCTGAGCTGAGAAAAAAAGGGAGCAGGGCAGGGAAATAGAGGCATAATGAAGCTTCCTCTGTTACATGGCACCTGGTTAACTGAGCCCCTGCAGCTCCTTGTGAAGCATGGAGCCCCTGGGCAGGGAAAGCATGCGTCTGGAACAAGCGAGCTTCCCACCCCCACTTACACTATCTACCTTGAATACAGCCCCAGTGGCTCCATGCTGAGCATGAAGCATGCAGTGAGACCATGTAACTGGATCTCGGCTTTGGTCTACATGGTCTTGCCATAATTAAGTGCTGTCTAGCAATGGGCCTGCTAGAAGCTTTGCTGAGTTCTAGCAATGGGCCTGCTAAGAGCTTTGTCTGCCCTAGGACCCACTTGTTAGGTCTGCCCTAGGACCCACTTGCTAGACCCACTTGTACTTAAGTGCATGAAGACTAGGTCTCATATATGGAATTAATGTTTTATGGCTACAGTGATTTGGTCTGAAACATTTTGGTAATCTGTGCCTTGTGTTTGTAAAGGGAACGATTAGGATTCCTCAAATGAGTAGGAACAACATTCATCAAGCCCAAGAAAAAGCTAGATTCTAGGGGTAAAATCCATGCCATGTTAAAGTCCATTGTAAAACTCTCATTAACTTCAGCAGAGTCAGGATTTCAATTTAGGGTCAAAGCATCTGACTCATGCCCATTGGCTTCCACAAACTGACTAATTATGAAAGTTTAAGATTACTAGGCCAATGTTGAACTAGACAATATAGCAAGAGTGGTTGCTCAAACCCACAAAGTAATTCAATCTTTATAGGATTATAGAGTTATACATAATTATCTGGTGGGATACAGAATGAGCAGGAAGAGATTTTTTTATGCTGAATTTCTTTCAAATTATCAATCTTTTTCCTTCAAGAGCTGTTGATATGCTCAAGTGATATATGTCTATCAATTTGTTTTATTTTTTGTCATTGAAAGAAGGAGCCTTCATTCCAAATTGTCAAGTGAGAATTCTACCCTTTTACACTCCCTTTGCAAAGTTGAAAAATCATAATTATTAACAAATATAAAAATAATCACTTTAATGAAACATGACAAAAACAAGATTAACTATCTGACTTGTTTTTGCAATTATAAGGGATGACTTGATTATAACATTTTAATCCATTGAATAATCTTATTCTTTCTTCATTTCTTATTATTTCTGATGATTTACCTGATTAAACTGTGATCTAAAACAATGTTAGTCAAATAGTTTTGGCTTTTTTGCTGCATATTACAAATCAAATAGCCTGTCCTCATTTACAGGGTTGTACTCAACCTGGTGAGATGTGAGCAGTGGGATACCCCAGGGCTCGGTCCTCAGGCCTGCACTGTTAAACATCTTCATCAGCGACTTGGACGAGGGGACGGAAAGCACTCTGTCTTTGTTTGCTGGTGACATGAAGATGTGGGGCGAGGTGGACACACTTGAAAGGAGAGAGAGGCTGCAAATAGATTTAGACAGACTACAAAAGTCGGCAGATGAGAATAGGATGGGGTTCAACATAGACAAATGCAGGGTGCTGCACCTTGGGAGAAAGAATCCACAGCATACATACAGGCTGGGGAGTTCCCTTCTTGAAAGCACAGAGGCAGAATGGGATCTTGGAGTCATTATTGACTCCAAGATGAACATAAGCCGCCAATGCCAGAC